ATGAAAAATCAAATGAAATATCAAATTTCGAATGAAGTTGATCAGCAAAGACATGTTTGGTGTCTGAAGTGTAATAACAGTATACCATTCAGTACAAAGAAATAGCTGTAATTTCAAATTGTTAGATATATTAGCCTTGTAGCTTCAGTGTAAACGTTATAGCTGATTGACTACCTTTAGAGGAACCTTTTGAAGAACTATCAATTTATTATTCTTAAAGTGATAATTCATAGTGTTATTCACCACCATGAGGAAATACCTGAATTAATGAATGAATAGAGAAACAAATAAAGGATGCAGATCCTTCCAGACAGGTGTACTGCATGATAAAATTAGACAATAATCATCCTACTTTGCTCTGTGGAGTGTTTAGAAATGCTAAGCAAGCCCAATTGACCTTGAGTTTGGATCAGGATGGCAAGAGGAAAAGGTCTATATGACTTTGAACTTGTGTTCATTATTGGGGCACGGATGGCTTTAGTCACAAAGACTGCTCAACTGACTAGTGTTTCAGTAGGAATAGTGATTAAACTCAGATCTGCATTTAGATCTATGGGAAAGAGATCATTAAACAGGTTTTAAAATTGTGGCTGAAAGCACATGTTCAGTGCTTGTGGTGCTTATACATTCCTATAAGGAAAAACAGAAGAGCTGCTCCTTATGTGACTGAGAATGTTAGTGCAGGATGTGATCCCACTGTGTCAGCAAGAACACTCTGTTCACATCTACATAGAGAGTGATATTATAGTAGAGTTGCAGTGCATAATCTTCTCATTATGAAGACAAATGACCATTTGAGAGTTCAGTGGTGCAAAAACCATCTGCACTGAGATGTGGAAAAAAGTGATACGGTCAGATGAGTCATCCTTCACCAGTGGGCGAGTGAATGTGCAGTGTACATCACGAAAATAGCACAAGCCTGAATCCTTGACCCCTATAGTCAGGGGGTCCAGTGGTTCTGTTATGCTGTGAGGGTCATGTTGTTGGCATGGTTTTGGGCCGACTTTTTTCCAGAGCAGTGGTCATCACCCTGGTCCTGGAGATCTACCTTCCTGCAAAGTCTAGTTCCACTGAAATCTGCCACAACTGCTGATTAACTTCCTCAGAAGTCCTTGTTTGGGTCAAATGTGTCAGTGTTAGGTGAGGGGAGGGGCAGCATGTTAGATGCTGGTTGGAACTAAACTCTGCAGGAAAGAAGATCTCCAGGAAGAAGGTTGGTGACCACTGCCTTAGAAGAAAGTGTCACTAAAAGTCAGTACAGTTATTCTGACTGATCGCCTTTCTCCTGCTTCTGACCAAATGCTTATCTAGTAGAATAGGTCATATGTTAGTAACTCTTCCAATGCTATGGCCTTTATAGCCATCAAATCTCAATTCAGTTGAACACCTATGGGAGATTTTGTACCCTAACTGATCTGAGCGAATTTATCTGGGGAGGTGCTGTAATTTGACTGATCACTAACAAGATTGATTTTAATACAGTACGAATTTCCAATGTCTATAGACTGTAGTCTGCTACAGAGACATAACCATGGGGTGGCCAGTTCCACCATAAAATGAAGCATGGCCACCCTTCTGGCCACCCCAGTTATGGAAAATGAGAGTCAGCCATGATCAATAAAGCATTAATCACACTTTACGATAAAAATCTGCCATCATAACATTTACCAATCAGTTATGGGAGTCTGATAACTTACATTTAATACTTAGCCTATCTTGCTGTGATAGACTAATGTACTCAGCAAAAAGGCCATTTAATGTGCACTGGGTCCCTCAGCTTTGATGCTCTGTGAGCTATATGATGAAGTAGGCTATTTGATGGCAAGGTAGGTTAACTATCCAAAATTATTCAGCTATAATTGATCATCAATGCTAACTAATTACTTTTAACAGTTAAATACATGCATGTGTTGTAGGTTACCTTGTGCAGTCCTGTCTGGTGAGCTTTCTGATCATTAGACTCACGTATACCCTGCAGAGAGGGCAGCCTGAATGAATAACGTCTATGGCCTGTCTACATGAAATGTTTTTCTTAAAGGTAACATTGTGCTCTGAAAAAAGTGATGCATTTAATTTACTTGATCAAAAACATTATTTACTCATGAATGACTAAAATACATACCATCAACAGAGTTATGTCTTTCAGTTTACTTTCAATAAATATTTGTTTTGATGTAATATTAGATTTGATTATGTCCAGAGAAAAAACAGCACATCCCTTTTTATGTCATTTCAATACAGTAACACTATTTTATTATTATTATCATTTTTCTTAGCAGTGTGCCACCCCAACAAGATCTCAGGCTTACCTGGCCACCCTATTCTTAAAGTTCTAGCTATGCCCCTGGTCTGCTAGTTGATCATTCCGGAACGAATTACCTTTTATAATTCGATTATTCACCAAACTCTGAGCTGACTCAGTAATAGTAGCCCTGTTCCGAATTGACATCACATTAATTTAATAACAAAACTGAGTAACAGCAAATGCTGTCTCTATTTTTTTATATTTTTGTGACCCGAAGACAAGGCTAACAGCGAAAATGGAGCCTGATTTTACCCAATTCCTTAATTTTCCAGTTCATGACAAGACTACTGAAATCAACAACTTTGGCGAATTACGAGGAGAAGGACAATGAACAAGCATCACTCACAAGGCAATGCGTTTGTTGGGTGACATTTGGTAAGCTGAATGTTCCCACTTTACCAGCCTAATGTCAGTCTCTATGCCAATTAGCCGCCCAGTATGCTGTTATTGTTCAGAAGTATGATGCTTGTCACATAATGCTGATGCATGAGGGTTCAAATCAAGGTTATTTTGGGCAATTTAGGGAAATTACACAGGTCCTTTATCCCATACAAATCAGCCAGTCAAATCATGCACAAATGACATTACTGGACCTCCTCTGGTAAAACTAATCCAGCTTGAATAGGGCTTTAAACAGTGCTCTCCAGTATCAAACACCAGCTGAGGGAATATTTATGAGAAAAAAATGTGTTCCATCCCTCCAGTACAGTTCCAGAGAGTTGTAGAATCCATTCCAAGGTGCTTTGAAGCTGTTCTGGCAGCTCATGGTGGCCTGAGATTTTGCTTTGTTTTTCCTTTAATTTGTCATGAATGTCATGTGTTTATGAGCATGATGAACTCTCATATAGGCCCTTAGAGTTTAACAAAGAAGGTTGATATTAGTTTGTTACCATCTGACCCTCAAACCTCACCTCACTCCTCATCTTCATTCAGTCAGTCTCTGATAATTTATCATTCATACCGCAGCTCTCATGAAGCTCTTCCTGCTATGCTTCGCCATCTAATTTCCTTTCCTGACTCTTTTGCACCATTCGAGTCCCCTTTCTCATTTCCTCTTTGCTCTTCTTTTGTTTCTGGTCTCATCACTTTTTAAATTTAAAACAGAGAATTAACTTAAAAAATCAAAGCTTGCCTCATTTGGAGACTGATGATTGAATGCTAGTTTAAAAAAAGAAGATTACAATATTACAATCATATTGTAACAATGACGTATCAGGACTTAAACAAAATGTGACGTTTAGAATGGGAAATGACGAAGGGCATTGCAAGAGCAGTGCAAGGGCAAGTACAATTATTCATGATAATATGTGACAGTTTCCACACAGATGACCTACTAGCCTGAAGGTGTTTGATTGCATTCTCTAAAAAAAAAGTAGACAACTTACAGTGAACTCTTCTCTTGTGATGAATCAGCAATGACATCTTTTGTCATGTGTGATATACTCCAGAAACAAAAGACTTTAAAAAGGCTGGGCTTATTGAATACCTGTTAAAGCTTTTTTTAAACAATTACTTTCAATTCCACAGTCTGGTTGGTTGAAAAGTGTTCTACCCATAGACATCATGTTAATGGATGTACCCATGTTGTTTTATCTGATAACCTTTTTTTTCTACCATAGTTGTATATTATTCCCCTGACCACTGGCTGCTAAGCAGCAACAACAATGACCGCTTTATTCAACAACTGCTGTTTTTGGAGGAAGAAATTGCTAATATTGAAAATGAAAAAAAAAAAAATCCAAACAAACAAAAAAAGGGCTACTTGAGGTTGTGCTAACATCTCAACTGTGATATTTGCAACTAAATTACAGCTGTGATATCCAGATGTGATTTCTCTGTAACGAAACACCAGAATTCAACTTCTATTAATTATCAATTAAAACCTGAATATCAGGGCTTTCCAAAGCTGGTGTGTAAAGACATTTGAGTTAGCCAGAAAGTTACCCAAACCCCATTCACTGAGAGATCAAACTGATTTTTATTCTGTGTATCACTCATTCAATTCTTCAATGACATTTTTGAGTCTTTGAAAAGTATTTTAGTAACAAATTATAGTGTAATGTTATAAAATACATTTATACATAAAACACACTTTGAAACCCACCTACCTTCATGCATATTTTGTTGGCATTTTTGGCCTTCAAACCACCAGAGAAATTAAACTTTGGCACCCTGAGACAGAAAGTTTTGGCACCCCTGCTCTATTTAATCCAAAATGGTAAATAAATAAATTAATTAATTAATTAATGTAAGTAAGTCAGCTGCCTCAACATTTGGAGTTCATTGAATTTTTGAACGTTAGCAGAGTAATAATCTGTGTCTTACACTCCACAGTTCAATAAACTCAAAATGTTAAGGCAGTTCAGTCACTGTAAGTTAAAACACCACATATTACAGTGAAGTTTTAAACTTTTTTAGAGTTTTAAACAAAAAAGTTTTAAACAAACCACAGCAGAGAGGAAAGAAAAATAAAGAAGGGTTTCCTAACTCTAGATAAGCCTAATCCTAACAATATGTTCTAACAATGATGTTCAATGGAGCAAAGACTTAAGGTAGACTTCATCCAATTACTCTTAAATTCTTCATTCATATTGCTACAAATTGGCTTCCTGCCTGCAGGCTCGTCTTGCTCTACCCGCCCCTTTCCTAAAGGAGCGCCCTCCTGTGGCCACAGCACTCACTCATAATAAAGCCTGCTGACTAAGAGGAAAGGGGCGGTAATGAGGCTGAGGGGTATTTAGCCAACTTTCTCTCTTGACGTTGTAATCAGAAGCGTTTTGGACTTTTGAAGTGCGTTACAGCTAAACGACCAGACTTAACAGACACTCTTCACTCTCTGTTTGCAACTCGACAGCCTGCTGACCAACTTACTGCGTTCATCTGCAGCTGACGTGAACTAACGGAACCACGAGGAGAGGAAGAAACACATCAGCTCAACATCAGGTAACATTTTTATTCCATTCTTTTGACGGTGTCCTTGCTTTTAACATCAGGTGTTGATTTCTGACAGCATGAATGGGGTACTTTTGTGAACTTTTTGAACGTCTTAACCGCGAATAGAATCTGCTGAAGATAAACCGAAAGTCAGTGGACGTGTTGCTGCTTCAATGAAATACTGGCAAATGAAGTAGAAGTAAAATTAGCGAAGCAAAACATACTGACGTGATGTCAGGGCAAAAACACCTCCAGTAGCCAGTACACTGCAGTGGACTGTTAGACTCTGTTATTCTTTTTTTACAGACCCCCATGGCCAAAGCAGTCCAATAGCTGGACCAACAGAACAGAATGAGAAAAAAAAATTCTGAATGGCTAAAGTGAAACTAAGTATTCGTTTCCTCAGTAAAAGTGTTCAGTGTATTTCAAAGTTTCTTGCGCCAATCCTCAAAAATACCACTTTATAAGGGAAATTCCATCAATTTTTCGAAATGTCCGCATAGTTCAATTGTTAAGATGTCAGTAAAGTCACTGAGTGTTTTTTGATGTGAAATGGTTAATATGCTGTGTCCAAATGGTCCTCTAATCACTATACCCTACATTTGAAAAACTAGATCACTATATAGAACATTATTATAGGGAACAGACACTATTATAGGGGTTTGCTCATTACTTACAAACAATGCAGTGCATTATGGATATCATCTGTCCGCTGGGGTACATCAGTTGTAAGCCTACGGTACTTATTGAGGTGCATTGAGGGATTTTTTTTGAGTGCACTGGATCTTCTGAACTATGTTTTCAGACACCACTACAAAGAGGCAGAACCTGAAAATAGTGCACTATGTAGTGAATCTGGCACAGTTTAGAACACAGCCTGCCTGTACCTCTCCGCCATGAATGGATTTGTAAAAAAAATACAATTTAGTCCAAAACCTCATCTCAAAACTATCGTAAAACAGTGCCTCAGGCATTAGGCATCGTTTTCGTAACCATTTCATGTAGTAGCTTTCTGCGATGTAGATTTTAGAGACATTGAACTCTTCAGGCATCTGGTTCCTATCGCCACCACTGTGAAAATTTCTGAGTCGATAAGTTTCATATCACGCCACTTTGAATGACTGTTTACTTCTTAATGATTTAGTTATGTAGATGTTTTAAAAAATTGATGGATTTTCCCTTTAGGCACTTAGACATGAGCATAGATTAGCCTAGTAAAGTATTGTTATTTCATCGAGGATATTTCCCAAAATAACTTAGCAGAAGCAGAAGTATTGAGTAACTTAGAGAACAGCAGTGCAACTTCTTAGTACATCCAACATCTATCAGCATTGACACTGAAGTTTGTTAAGCTCTGTTCTTCTCTTTTTTTTTGAATCATTTTGGCCTAAAATAAAATGTTAAAATTCCAAGGTGGCAAGTATGAAGAACAGAACACACTAACATTATCTCAAAAAGGAGTGACGAACAACAAGTGGAAGACTAAATGATACGGAGGAAAAAGTAGAGCCCTTTAATCACAAATAGGCTACTTGCATATGAGTCTTAGCATTTAGCAAATTCATCAAAATGGTACTACAGTATACAGAATTGAATAAATGCTTGTGTCTGCCACGCGCTGTCCTGAAGACTGGCACGGTTTAAGTAACTTGTGTAGGCTAGACTAGACTACATAGAAGCTATTTTTAAGACAAAGGGCATTTCCTTTAACTGTCATTACTGTCAGAATGAAAGTGAGTGAACTTTAATTTGATAGCTGTAACAAATCCTGAAGCACTAACAGCAGCCTCACAGCCCCAGTGTGGTTACAGGGTGATAGTGGTCTCAAACCACAGAGAGAAAAAAATATTGGGCTCTGTTTCAGTAGTCATGTGTGAGTCTTTCATGTGAGATAAAAAACAAAAAAGATGTCATAAAAAGTTAATATTTTCAGTGCGTCCACACTTAAATGCATTATATATATTCTTGTTGCCGTCTGGAGCTTAGGGGGTGTGACCATGCGATGTAGCTCACAACATGCACTACACTTCTGGTGTAAAAAGGGCGTTTGCTGTAGTTTTTGTTGATGGTGTGGTTTGTGGTTTAGATGTAATGTGTACTTCTTGTTGTTAAATTGTGTTCATTGCAGGTGGGCTTTGTATGTGAGTTTGTCCACCTTCCACATGTGTTGTGTCCTCCCATGTTAGCCCCTCCTTGTGTTTTGTGATGGGGTAGCACTGGGCTGGGCATTTCTAGTCTTTGTAAAGACTCTCTTTTGAAGTGCCTCAGGCAATAAAGGTCAGTCGCCTGTACGTGCAGTGTTTTCTGTGTCTTCTTCTGTGTCGATGCTACAATATTGATGGCAGGGATGCGTAATAATATTAGAATCACACTTGTGTCGACAGCTGTTCATTTGAAAAATATCAGCATTGGGGTAATGTCTCAAATATTTAAATGCCCATACCTTCTTGTATTTTATTTTTTCCCCTGAAGTCTACTTATAACAATTGTGTGGTTTTATTTCCTAGGATGGTCATAATGATCATTTTTGCATGACCATTTTCCAACATTCTTTCTTTGTCCCCTAAGGCTGATTTATGCTTCTGTGTTGAATCAACACTGAGTCTACTTTATAGCCTACGCAAGTGGCTTACGCCATTGTGAGCGTTTATACTTGTGTGTTGGTGTGTCTGCGTTGCCCTGTAATTACGCCAATTCTATTTTTCATCTTTCTGTCACTTCAACATCAGACATGCAAATTTGTGCTCTCAGACATGAGTCTTTATTCTCCAAATGGGTGTTTTTTAAGCATCAGTTAGCTGGAACTAACTAACGTTAGCTTAGCCTAGCAGGCTGTAGCTTAAACCATTACAGAACAGGTTTGATTTTGGCTTTCTGTCACTCCAACACCGATTGCTCTTGCTGTGCAACACTCAACTGAATTTTAAAAATGGAGGCGAAGAAGGAGAAGCTAGTAATGTATAGGAGAAAATGCGATGCTGCCAAGCGTTGTTTCGATCTGCGTCGCTGTGACATGTAGATACATTTCTGGGGAGCTGCGTGTCATTTGAGGACATAGTGCATTCGACGCAAAAGCTTAAATTGGCCCTTAGAAATAAACAGGCTATTTTTGTTGTTGTGCCTTTGAGCTGGATATATACGTGAATGAGCTATGTTTTGATTGGCTGTCCTATGTTGTGCCTCGTTCAAATAGCACTCCCTAGAACTTCAGTATGAATGGGTGGAGATAAACTTCTGTAGGATAAATGGGTGGACATATCAAAAGGAGTTGGTTAACATGAAACGGTAAATTCAAAATGGCTTTTTGGAGTGTGGTTTCCAAATATAGACTACAGAGTAAATGATACATTTGTCAAGAAATTTGTCACACTGTAAGAGGTCAGGACTTTTCAAATGATGTGCAAAGAGTTAAGAGATTATGAGATTTTCGCATGACACAGATGCCATTAATTTCATAGTAGCTGCGGAATAATGTATAGTAGTTACTGAATAATAAGCCTCTTGTTTAAGGGGCTAATTGTTAATTCATTTAATTGTTCAGCTTTCTAGCCAGCATAACAAATTAAAGAGCACATTCGCAGGGACTTTTCAGTATTTTTTTTTTCTTTTTTGAATCTCCACTAGTCTCTTTCTCTCTCTGGGCTTTGCTGCCTACTGAGAAAAGACATTGCTGTAAATAGGCTGGCAAAAACAAGACACTGGTGAATCTTATCAGCCCACTGGTTCAGTATGACTGGTTCTCCGTTCTGGATGTGACACTGGACCACGCCCCCTTCTTCCCAAAGAGCAAACAGTAAAACAATAAAACCATAGCTTTTTAAAGATTTTAAAATTACTGTAATGGAAAAAGATAAAGAAGGAAGCCTTTTTAAATATGTAAAAACATGGCAAATGTATAAAAATAGGTATAGAAATCCAGCTCTGTTACAGCAGGCTCAGTTTCTTTAAAACCTCTCTCTTTCTCTCTGTCTCTCTCTCTCTCTCTCTCTCTCTCTCTTTCACTGAAGCCAGTTTTTCGTTTAGAGGCTGAAGAAGTCAGATCAACTAATTAAATCTCCCAAATCGTCATAATCCAGGTGTTTAATTGGACATTCATTGCTGGGTTCAGTGAGGTTGTGTCATAGAATGGTGTATTACTGCCTGCTCATTTGTTTTAAATGTGCATTTGGCATCGTCTGGTTGATAAGCCAATTTGAATGTCATGTGGTTCTTGTCTTACTGTGACTTCCAGGCTGCGAACTCCGGTCAAGAGCGTTAACGCTCACAGACAGAATCAACACACAGCATTTATGTTCACATAGACGACACCTGGCATCATTTCTCAAATAACTTGTGCAGACAAGGTCTTGTGAATCGTTCCATTCTTGGCTTTGATGAAAGTGTTTCATTATGTAATCATGATCTCAGCCAGTCACTTGTTCATCACCGCCTTATGCACTATGTACTCATACGGAGGTGAGCAGTATCACAATATGGTATTGTTTAGGCTGGGAATGGTAAGCGCATTTTAGTAATTGATAAATCGAGACAAAATTATTGGTAAAAATCAATATTTTCATTAGTTATTTCATTAGTTACCATGAGTATATTACAGTTATATTGAATATTATCCTGGACTGTTTACATTTGCACCGGTATAGTCTGTACATCTAGAACACTAAACTGTGCGCAAAACAAAGAAAGTCAGATTTAGACCAATTATAGAGAGACTGTAAACAACAACAACATTCATAAATAGTTTATTTTTGCAAACTTTGACTTTTTATAGATGTTTTTTTCATAGATTTTGTCCATTCCAAAATTTTTCGCCAAAAAAAAATCGAAGAACTAAATATCGTAATACATATTGCGTATTGTGATATTATATTTTTGTCATATCGCCCACCCTTGCGATCATGTATGAATGCTGTGAATGCCTTGTGCCCATAAATGTGGCTATTTGAAGAAATGGTCTCAGCAAGGGGCAAAAGAGAGGGTAAAGGTGGGATACTTTTACTGGTCAGCTGAAG